CGGGCGCGGGGCTCCCGGGGCCCGCGCACCTGCCCCGCACGCGGGCTCCCGAAGGTGGCCCCGGAGCAGGGGCAAGGGGCCCGGATGGACCCTAGGGGCGGAGGGGCACAGGCTGGCCGACCCGCAGAGGGGACTCCTTGGTGGCCTGCGGCTGCCTGTCCGCTTTGAGGTTTGAAAACAAACATGCAGAGGGACCATGAGCTTGGGGTTTCTGGGAATCCTGCGTCCCAGGGTGTGGGGCTTTTACAGCTGCTGCTGCGGGTTTACGGATTAAAAAATGCTTTTACAACAAAGGAGCCTGTTGCATCTAACAGGTTGGAGCCACCCGAGAAAGTGATGGCCCCCGGTGATTTCCAGGTCCAGGGGCAGGAATGAGCACAAAAAAATTGTTGTCAAAACTCTTGGTAACAATAAATAAAATTCCTGCATTAGCTATGCTACCCGCACCATATAAAATGTCAACAACTACAATAAAATCCAGCGAGAATAAAAATGTTTGCAGCCCAGACAGCAGATGTGATCAAAATTGAACTATGAGAATTGGACATGTCAACATTTTGAGGCCAGAAATATTCAGTAATGTGTATGAAAGTTACATATCGCATTCCTCAACAGATTTGGATCCTATGCCCAAACTGTTTGATCCTATGCACAACACAACTGTTTGAGGAGGGGGACAATCCATTTAAAGGGAAGAGCTAGGCACTAATGCTAACGATGGAACACAGTAACGTGGGCAACGACCTCCTATAGAAAGGTCTGGAAATGGGTTTAAAAAAATCCTAATAATACCACTAGTCTGGTATATTCTGCCACAAAATGATCGCTAGCAGTTTTTATCTACTTAAACTGACCTTACAAAGCACTTGAATTGCTGAGAGTTAAAAAAAAAAACCTCTGTCAAAGAATAGAGCCACATAAGACAAGTACCAAACTTAAAGCACTTCATTGCGTAGGATTTCTCGTTAGCACTCTCAATTTACCCATTTCTTTCTTAAGAAACCTAAAAATATCCCAAAGGGCCTTTCTTTAGGTTATTAATTGGAGAGCCCTACTTCCCAGGGACCTATGATGCCAGAGCTACCCACAACCAATCTAGAACCCAAGCAAAACATCCGTCAGACTCAACAGAATAACTCGTCCATTTGCCTGATGGAACGTTGGAACACCCTAAAATCCTATCTATTCAGAATTAAAAGGATATTAGCATAGTTCAGCCTTTTCCCCTAAAGGGAGAGTAAAACAAAAGAATGGAATCCTTTTACTGAAAACCTTCCTGACCATTCAGAGGTGAACTCCATCTCCACCCTCATCACAGCTCGACACCATGCGTCACGTTTCGGGATGGGAAAGGCAAAATTTGCTCCCTTTTGGGAAGATTTCTGGCCGATACAAAGAACGGTGCCGACGCAACACTGTGAGAGGAGGGTTGCCCGAACCGCCCAGACAAAGCCCTCTACTGCCCGGGGTTGCACGGCTTCAGGGCTCCTTCGGACCCGGCCAGACGGCTTTGGGAGGTCACCGGCCGCTCTGCCCACAGCACCTCCCGACTGGGACCCGGGCCCGCCATGACAGCCCCTGGGGCGGTCTGCCCTCCCGAGCCCCTGGTCACCTCTTTCATCAACGCCTCGCGGCAGCCTGGCTTCCCGATTCCCCGGGGGCCTCCCGCCCGCGGCCCGGCGGGCGCCCGCAGAACCGGCCGGGCAGCCCGGCCCCTGAGCGCCCGCTGGAGCGAGGCCGCGACGCCGCGCTGGTCCTCCCTCCTCAGACGCGGTGGCCGCGCGACGTTCGTCGGGCTCGTCCCCTCAGCGGACCGGCGTGCGAACAAGGCTGCGGACGCCGGTGCTCCCGCCCCTCAGAGTCCCGGGGGCTCGGCCCGCCGCGCTCACAGCAGTTCCGGCTACGGCGGCCGACGGGGACCTCCG